ACTGGAAACTGCCCATGGTTTTGGTTAGCTCTTGGGGGGACTCTGCTTGGCTCGCAATTTCAAATCCACGGACTCTGCTTGGCTCGCAATTTCAAATCCACGGGATTGGGATTGGATTGGGACTGGGATTTGGATGCGCACGCTAAACAGACCGTGGCCGCGCCCCCACACCATCCATAGGTAAAGCTCGATACAAAATATTTCATCACCCCGCGCTAGTCTACAAACTTTAAGCAGGCACCTTGTCTAAAAGATACTGTCATCCAAAGAAAGTGGAAGGAAAATAGAAGTATGCCGAAGCAAAGAAAAAGAAGAAAATACACATAAAAGAGGCAATCCCTAGAAAAGGAAAAACAAAAAGAAAAATCCACATCAAATGGAGGAACCAGAAGCCCTGACTAATAAAATACAGAACCAGGAGTTTATAAAAAAAATAGTTACTCCTGCACAAAAGAGCCTGTGTGGATTCTCAACTATAATGTCCTGCCGTGGCACTAAAAATTGCCTCACTCTCCTCTCCCCAGAAGACAAAGCGTCAGGCTCGCATCTATGGATCGGCATATCATAAAGAAACCCCCACCTAAACGAGAAGATGATCAAACTATACAGTTTGCGAAAGTTTAAGGATACGGAGGCCAATAGGATTGTTGAATTTTATCGCATATTCTGCTGTTATATTCTTCCCAAATTCCCCAAATAACCGCAGATGCTTCCAAATGTTGGAAGAGATTTTATGCTATAATAAGCTAATACTTCGGCACTGTTTGGCAACAAGAGATTGTGTCTTATCTAAGAGATTGTGTCTTATTGACTTGGTCAATAAGCTAGTAGAGCTGTTTGGTGACAAAAAAATAAGAGGAGATTATTTTGGAGATTGTGTCTTCTGCAAGTAGCTTTTGAAAATCTACCTCAAGTAGCATTTGCCTTTGGGAAGGAGCTGCCAATTTTTTTTTCTTTCGTTTGTGCCCCTAATAATTCTAATTTTATATCAATAATATTGCATGTCCTTTTTAGTTATTTAACAAATTTAAGCTAGTTGTACAGCTACTTTTGCCAAACAGCTCTAGTCAATTAGCTAGCTACACGGCTATCAGCTTTCAGCTATAATTTCACAGCTTTCAGCTAGCTTAACAGCTTTCAGCTATAATCTCGCAGCTTTCAGCTAGTTTTGCCAAACAGAGCCTTCACTGTATGTGATACGTACATGATACGGTACATATTTGTTTGTTAAACTTATATAGTTTGATTGCAATAAAATGTTGTTGTCTAAAGTTTTTTTAGTCAATTGTTGTTTCAGTATCTTTACCCAAGAATTCAAGAACAAAACAACAAACATCTTATTTCGTATTCTCCCTAATCCATGATTGGTGACCCTGAGAACGTGCCAAGAGGTTTTTCCCCACAAAATCTGTTAGTTTTCTTCAAAATTTTCAAATTTGCCCCTTAAATTAGTTGAAAGAGTTATAAGCATTGAGGGGTAGTCTGTGGGTTTTTAAAAATTTGACACGCATGATCAAAGTTGAGGTTTTTCTTAAATACTAGGTGCGTTGCAGGTGGTTTATTTTTTGAGTTTTTTATTTACTATAATTAGGTTGGGAAATATTTTAAAATATATTAAAACTTTTAGGATGTCACTGGTATTAACTTGTTGGTTTCAAACTCTTACCTTCACGGGAAATAATAAAGGTTTAGAGTATTTTAATAACATTATAAATAATAAACAATCCATCAAATAAACTTGTATAATCGCTGGTTTAGGTTTTGAATTTATTTTGTGAAAAAGAATATGAGAAAAAGTGACTTAAAGGAGAAAAAATAAAGTTCTAGAATTAAGCATTTGGAAGAGATTTGAGTGTTAATACTGTTAGTATACAAATTAAAAGTGAAATTAATGGAAACTGTTAAGTAAATCCATGTGAATTAGAATGGATGGTCATTTGATCGATTCGTTGTTATCGAATTCTGAGATCGAGAGTGCATAGAATTTGCAATTAAATGAATGGATATTCTATTATTATCAATCTAACTAATCCAATATTTTTTTAGCATTACATATAATTGATACAATTTTATTAAATATTTATAATCAGTAACAAGATGAAATTTACTCTCTTGAATAACATCTCTCAATTGTTTAGTGAAATGTACTCCCAATAGCTTTATCATCAATGAATCCTATAATTATACAACATACATTAATTTTTTAATTCAATAAAATGAATAATTATTCCTAGTAACTTTCTATTTAAAAAAACTATTGATTTACACCATTTTAAGGATTTCTAACATAAAAATAGTATTGATTGAAAGAGGGGTCAAATACTAAATCTAAAAATGTGTGTTTTATTAAACGCTATATTTTGGCTTCAAAATAAATTTTTTTTGGAATTTATAAGACTACCTAAATTTTGTAAATAATGTTCTTTATTTTGTGGACTTAAAATAACATTTTTGGATTTTTTGGCCTATTGTAAAATTTTTCAAAAATTACCCTTTCTTATAATTTTGTTATTAAAATCCTAGATTTAAACTTATACTTAATTTTACCAAAACTATAATTCTTTATAAAAACTTTTTGAACAAACTTATAGTAGAATTTCTTCTTCTTTTTTTTCTGTTTATGTTAGTTGTTAGTTTTAGTTTTCATAGAACAAACTAACTTTATAGAGCTATTCTACATGTAAATTTTACGTTGCTCTCTATATATAAAACAACTAAAACTACTTCGTGAATGAATTTATTTGTGGTTTAAATGCCCATATACCAAGACATGCTTCTTGGTATTCATGCTTTTATAAATGGTAAGATCAACACTTGTAAACAATCCTAGAGAGTATTTTGAACTTCCCTTCATGCAATAATAGATCTAAATATCATGTTCTTCCAATAATTAACGAAAAAATAAATGGAAATCATAATAGTTTATAATTACCCATATGCACTCAAAAAATCTACATGAATAAAAAATATAAACGAACCATAAAGATAAAGTATAAAAAAATAAATGAAAATTTTAAAAAAAATAAAATTACAAATGATGAAACTAAATATTGGTAAAATTTGTTTATAAAAGAATATATAGTTTAAGAAAATAAAATAAATAAATAAAATCATAACACACTGTATATTATACCTTTATCAGTTGATCGATCAAATAAAAGTTAAGCATTTCTCATAAATCAGAGAACAAATAAAATTTTAGTAGTTGAAAAAAAAATCATTAAAATAGGGTGATCTCATTAAGACTCTAATTTTTTTGATATTTTTATCTTATGCAAACATACAAAACTTGTTAGCTGTATCCATTCACTTAGACTCATAAGCTATTAAATCATTAGTATTGAAATTTATAGTGCCAATATGAGCTTATTCTAAAACTTCTTTTATTAAATTGTCATTTAATAGCAAACAAGTAAATTGGGAATACTAAGACCACTTTTTCATTATTTTTAACCAAACTCAGTCATTGATTTAATACCAAATTGTTGTACTTTATTCTCAAGTAAACTATACGACACTATAAAAAAACTTGCTTATAATCAATAGATACTATTGTTTTATATAAAAAGTAAAACAATAAGTAGATTCATGCACTAAATATGGTCCATTAAATTAACCAACATGATACATATTCAAAAATATTTCCATTAGGAAAAAAATTGGGCCTAAATACCCCATCCAACAACCATACCATCATTCCCAACTTACAAAGTAGCTTTCATCCCCAACAAAAAGATGAAAGAATTATAATTATTTTTACAAATTTAGCCATAATTATATGAAACCCACACACAAAAGAAAAACAGAGACAAAACATATTCAAACATATTTACCAAAAAAGTAAAAATAAAAGTAGATGCATGCACTAAGTATAGTCCATTAAATTAACCAATACTATACATATTCAAATATATTTCTTCTAAGAAAAAAAAAGGGGGCCCTAAAAGACCCTAGTCGATAGTCATACTACCATTCTCAACTTACATAGTAGTTTTCGTCCCCAACAAAAAGATGAAAGCACTATAAATATTTTTATATATCTAGTCATGATTACATG